AGCTATATCTTAAGCAATTTGACAAGGTTTTGACTCAAAATTTCAGGAAATATGTAAAATTTACATAATCTATTATTGGTGAATGAACAGTTTAACTCTTCTTTGACAATATGTATTGCTATCATGGATTATTAAGGGATATTATATCAGACAAAAGAACACAATTTTTATCAAAATTTTGGAGAATTCTTTTTAAGATATTGAAGGTGGATATAAAACTATCTTCGACTTTGCACCTTCAAAGTGATGGACAAATATAACACGTAAATCAAGTTTTAGAGTAGTATTTGAGATATACCATCAATTATTAATAAGATGATTGAACAACTCTTTTACTATTGGCAAAATTTGCTTACAATTATTCGGTACATTCTTCTACTCAAAAAACACCTTTTTTTGCCAATTATCATCTACAATTTGACACTTTTGACTTTTCAAAAGTTGATAATCCTACAATAGAAGTTGTGGCAATCGATTGTCAAAGTTATATGCAACAATAAAGGTACAATTAAAAGAAGCTTAAGAATGACAAAAAGCAAACTCAGATGTCTATTGCAAGGAACAATCTCAATTCTATGTGGAAGATAAGGTATGGTTACTTCATTATAATATTAAAACTATTTGACTTTGTGACAAGCTAGATTATTATAGGCTTGGACCATTTCTCATTTGTAAACAAATCAATCTAGTTGCTTATCAATTATACCTATCTGAGTCTATGAAAATCTATCCTATGTTCCATGTATCTTTACTTGAGCCATATAAGACAATGGATATACAAGGAAGGAGATAAATGCCACCTCCTCCTATAGAAGTGGACAATAATGAAGAATTTGAGATAAAAGAAGTCTTAGATTGAAGGCGATGCCAAAATAGGTTAGAATATCTTATACATTGGCATGGATATGACATTAATGAATGTACATGGAAGCCATCCAAGAATCTTGCAAATGCATGGGCCAAAGTTTAAGCTTTTCATCAACAACATCCATCAAAATCAAGATAAAGAATCAAGAAATTCTTTGCTACAAAGCAAAGTAAGTCCAATGGAGATTTTATTCTATCTTGTATTATTATTTCTTTGGATTTTTTAGTGCTTAGGAGATGGAGAACCAACAACCAACAAATTCAACTCAAGAGCTATCATTTGTTTTGTTTGAAAGAAGTTATGAAGGTCTCAATAATGATCAAATATCACGGTTGTTTTTTTGTTCTAGTATGATACATTATCAATGGTTGAAGGAACCTATCAACTACCTTCAAAGGGAACAAAGATCAGAGTATGTGACAAATATAGTTTGGCACATCTTAGATTTCATCAACATGTAATCACTACTCTTTGTGGAACTCGTTCCTAGAAAGGAGATAATGTCACGAACATACATATTTACCTTGTCAATTATTTAGATAATAAGAATAGGTAGAATTAAACCAAAGTAGATAAATATAATAATTTCTTGTGGAAAGCTTTTTAGAAGCTTCATAGACACTGCTTTATTTTTATACATGTCTATAGGTGATTGGTAGGTAAAAACTTGGCTAACAAGGATGCGACGTATCGACATGTTGACCACTTATAGTACAAGTTGGATATATGGCACACACCTAGGAAACTTGCTTTGTAAATTAGACATGTGTCTTGTAAGTTGGATGTGTATTAGAGGTCTTATAGCATATTGCCACATAGCTCTTAGTTAAGCAGTATATATAGAGGCAAGAGTGAGGCCTTTCTTACTCTTATCAATTCTTTTCTTGCTTTTAGTTTAGTTTCAAGAGTCTTATGTTTTCTAATCTTTGGCAATAGCCATTCTAGTTCTTCCTTGAATATACATAATTTTTTCTATTTTGTTACTTTTCTTTTGACACAGATTCCACGAATTTATGTATCTTTTTTTAATTTGTGTCTTTGATAGATAATAATCTATACACATCCTATAACCAACAAAAATCTACTAACATGGCTCTCACCATATTTTCTAGTATATTATGTGTTAAATATATAAAGACATTATTTTCACATGGTAGCCAAACAAAAACACAACAATAAGATGTCTCAAAGAACAAACTACTTTGACAAACTACATGGATCTCTGGTGCAACTTGGCAAGCATCTAAGGCTAATGACATTACTTTGTATATTAGTGGATTTTTAGCCACCTTGGCAAATTGACTTTCAATTTGTAAAGCACTTATAAGTGATGATGCCTCTAATTGGCATCTAGCTATGAAAAGTGAATAGAAGAAAATATGTATATATAACATTTATAATCAAGAATGAAATATAGGAATTGGTCCTTCATTCTTCTAATTGATCTATTATGAGTATTAAATGGCTATTCCATCAAAAGTATAATTTTGATGGTTCTTTAACATGCTTTAAGGCAAATTTTATTGCTTGCAATTCTCACAATAAGAAGGCCTTGATTATCATGAAACTTTCTCTCTAGTCATCAAAATGACATCACTACATCTTATTCTTGCTTTAGCTACTCATTATGACTTTTATACTCATCAAATAGATGTTTATACAGCTTTCTTAAATGATATTCTTAAAAAAAAAATTTACATCACTCAACTTGAAAGATTTGTAATATCCGGTCATGAACATAAGATATGTCATTTATTTAAATCCTTATATGGATTAAAACAAGCTCCTTGCATATGGTATGATCTATTTGATGACGTTTTACTCAATAATGGATTTTCAAAATGTATTTTGGATATCAATTTTTATTATAAATACTTCTCTACATCCGTTATCTACTTTGAACTTTATATTGATAATCTAGTTTTAATCTCAAATAATTTATCTTACTTCATTTTGATTAAAGCCTTTTTTTCTTCTCATTTCTTAATGATGGATAACAATAAAATTGAATATATTTTAGATATTCAAATTCGTTGTAATTGTGCTACCTACACTTTAATCCTCTCTCAAGACAAATATGTCTCAAATATATTAAATTATTTTTTTATAAACAATTGCCATATCATATTTATTCCTCTTTAGACTAGTATTGACTTTTCTCAAGGTCTTGACCTCATGGAAGGAGGATATTGAATTCATGGCATCAATTCTATATGTATATGTCATTAGAAGTCTACAATACTTTGTTACTTGTACTAAATATGATTTAGCCTGTGCCATACATATATGGTATAATTTATGGCTAAGTTTAGTTCAATTCATTGGACATATTTAAAATGCATACTTTTTTATTTAAAAAGAACTCAAAATTTTAGAGTATATTATTTAAGTTCTTCTTCCACCTCTTCACTACAACTTTATGGTTAGATTGATGCAAATTATGTAGAAGTTCTAGATACTTAAAAGTCTACTTCTAAGTATATGTTTTATTTCAAGTCATCTCTTTGAATTGGCATTCTAAGAAATAAGCCATAGTAGCACAATCAAGTATGGAAGTGAAATATATTACAGTGGCAACATCTTTAAAAGAATTGATATGGCTTCAAATTCTTTTCAAAGAAATTGGACATCAAATAACTTTACTAAGCATAATTTATTGTGATAATCAATCATGTATTGCTATAACAAAAAATCCACATTTCTATAATTACACAAAACATATTGATATCAAGTACCATTATATTAGAAACAAAGTAAAGGCAAATGAAGTTGTCTTCAAATTTATTCTTACAAATGAAATGAAGGCACATATAATGACAAAGTCTCTTTCAAATCCCAAATCCAACGATTTCATGGAAGATTTAATCAACATCAACAATTCAAATAAAATCTAGTCTATGATGATTAAAGAAAAGTGTTGGATTTACTAATATATATTAGATTAATTAATATATGTTAGTAAATATAGAATTACCTTTAGGTAGTTACAAAGTAATTATGAAGAAGTTACAACTACTTCTCTCCACAAGACAATATAAAAGGCTCTTATAAATATGATGTAATCAAGTTATTTTATTAATATACTTCATGATTTATATTATTATTAGTATTCTTTCTCTTATGCTAGCAACAATGTTTCAAATGTTAAACCAGTTTGTGAAGTACTTGAGATGTGATTTGGACAAAACCTCTCACTCAAGTCATCAAATTGACAGGCTGAGAAGGGGTAGACATCTTGAAGAATGCGGCAAGGACCTACATGAATAAATTGGTCACGCCACTTAATGTTTCGATAGTCACATGGGCGGAGTAAGATCATTCCCTTCATTACTGGCCACGTAACTGAGACGGGCAGGGGAACCCGTCAACAAGAACATTTACTTTGACAGCTGAACTTCTAGTTGCCTCACATCGCCAAGATAATGGAGCTCAGGATACCTTGTATACACAATTTCAACATCTCCAAGATAATGGAGCTCAGGATACACGCTGATAATCAAAGAAAACTACCCAGCGCTCATTCGACCTCATTCTCGACCCGATCCAATGGTCCAACAGCCACAAATTCTCGCAGTAAAAGTGATCTCAGCTCAAACCTAAAGGCTCTCATTCATTTCGTCAAACCAATCTTAGGTGCTGTGCGGAAGAATACTCAGGCTGTGTCTTCACATTTTGTGAGCTGAAATACTAGGCATAACCTGGCCTCCGTTCTCGTCAATTAACGTGCTAATAGTTCGGTGAGCCCCCATCTGGAGCCTCTAGTTGGTAAAAGCCCTGACGTTAAAGATAGCGAGCTCCTCCTCAACTGGTCTTACTCTCGGTTTCCGTTACATCCTTGGCCATGGTTTCATCCTGTCAATCCAACAACACTAGTGATTTGAAAGTGATAGACAGTCAGTATCGTTTTTCCTATCTGAAATTTTTGACCTCGCCTGTCCCAACCTTGGCAAGGTGTCATTCAAAGCATCTCGATGAATTCTATTTTTACTACTGATTGAGAAGCAGGACCACTCCAGATCATATAGTGCACCCAATATTTTTACGTGAGTGCCAGTGTAGAAACTTATTAGACACGGCTCAATTAAGGCCTAGAATATCTAGGAGGACTACATCACCCAAAATACCAAGAACAAGAACGAAATCAGATGTCCTGCTTATGTTGGACTGACCATTTTACAATTAATGGGTGCGAATCATGTACTCCCATCACACCAATGAGTGGGAGTTCACATTCAAAAAATTGGGTAACCACAAGGAATCAACTTTTGCTAGAGTTACACTCCCTAACTAATCTGTTCAAATTGTGAGTTCACTGTCGAACTAACCTTGTAATGTGCCAAAACTACAAGACAAAGCGTTACCCGAGTTTGCAACACAACAGGAATTGCACATTACTCTTAAGGCACAGGGACCTTAATATCACTAACTAGGACCCAGAAGTAAGCTCTTAAAAAAGCTTTCAGCCGTCGATACAATTTAACAACTTCGGAAGCCAACACTTCTCTTCACGTCTGCCTGGAAACGGGATAGTCATCCATAATCAGTAATCCGCCATTAGAAGCAAAAGCTTCAGTAATAATGAGGAGGATGCAAGCCAAAGTCTGTGCCATCATGGTCTGGAATTGCAAAGAAGCTGAATATTTCCCCGATTTAGTTGCAAGGTGTCACAAATCCACAAATTTGGCCACTTTTCGCCAGCTTTGAAAATCAAGTGGGAGTAGACGCGCGGGAGGTTCTCTATGCTTGAAATTGGGAAGTATCGACCAGGATACTTACTTCTGTCACAAGTAATCACTAGGGTCCTCCATATCAGTCTGAGGAACGCCTGCGTTGTACTCATGCCGGCGTTTACTTAAAGCTGCACGCTGCATAAGCCTTACCAGGGACTGCACTACTTCAGATATAGGAGGTCGGAATTCGGGTTCGGGCTGTCCACAAATACCACATGGAAGGTGTATTAGAATTAAAATAATATATAACTAATGAATTTATCATGATTAGCAGTATGAATTTGATCCAAAGGTGGTTGTCCCCTACTATCTGACTGGGTATTATGATATCATACAAGCAGGTGACTACATGTGAGAAAACTCGTTACCTGGACACACAAGGCAACGATGTCGGCAAACCGGGAGAGGGACTTGGCAGGGTAAGCACCCTCTAACGCTGGATCCACCATTCTTGCGAGTGCATCAATATCATGCAGTTGTGGTGTTGCCCATCGCACCAGGTTTTGCTCGGATCTTGGTCTTGAGCTGCGGGTCCAAGGGTTCACCAGGTTAGGACATACTTATGACTGATAGGATAGAAAGCAAAGTGCCGGAAAAAGTGATCAGGTTATATTTTACGAGGATGGATGCTCTTGCAGACCATGTACGTCCCATGTTATCGCTAGATTTTGTTGAACAGAATGTGAGACACGGTGTTTAATTCTTAAGATCAGAAAAGAAAACCCTCAAACACAAGATACAGAGTTCGAGTTACCTGTCTAAAGGCTTGCGTCCTGTCATAAGCTCAAGCATCACAACACCAAAGCTATAAACGTCGCTTTTCACATCATACATTCCAGATGTGCTGAATTCAGGGGGACTGTATCCAAAAGATCCCAACACTTGGGCAGAGACCTGCCAATCGCACAAGACATTCCTCGTCAAAAGATTTCAGTATTGACTACTGCAGATAGTTAAAATTTTAAAAAGGTGAATATACCCCTCGAACCAATGACGAAAGATAGCTCAAAAATTTCTCCGTGAACTGGTACCCGGAAATGCCTTAGTCAATGCTGTACTACATGATATACATCGCCAGCTTTATAATGCTCCAGTAAGTAGCATCTACGACTGCACTAACACGTTAAAGTATGAGATGCAGACCTGCCGTTCAGCACTGGATGGGGTAAAAGCAGCCAAACCACAATCCGACACATGTGGGTTCAGCTCATCATCCAAAAGAATGTTTGAGGATCTAAAGTTGCGGTGCACAACCGGCTGCGAAACGATTTCATGGAAATACCTACAGTCAAAGAAGTGAAAACACGAAGATATTACCACCATGACCTTGAAGGATGTAAACTCATCACAGGCAACTGCTCAAGGCATCAAACTTCGATCAAACCAGAGTTTTCAGGGTGGGCACGTACTCAAGAGCCCGCGCACAACCAAGTGCAATCTTCACACGGACATTCCATGACAACTCCTTGGGGCTATCGGCTGAGCCATGAAGCAGTTCATGGAGTGTCCCTCGACTGATGAACTTGTAGACCAGAAGTCGTTGCCCATGCTCGGCACAGTAGCCTACGAGTTCATTAGAATTGGTATGTTGTAGCCGGGCCAAGCCATCGACAACGCTCAAGAAATCATCTTCATTCCGAACCATGGAGGCTGTTGTATCAAGTTTCTTGACAGCTAGAACCTCACCGTCGGGGAACTCCGCGCGGTAAACACAACCAAGCGAACCTTCGCCAAGTAAATTATCCTCTGAGAAACTGTCCGTAGCCGCCTGAAGTTCTGCGACGGAAAACTCTCTTGCTGTAATGTTGCTCTTGTTCACCTTCCCTTCACTTTCAACCTTGTAGGTAGCTTCCTCAACCTTCAAAGCTGGAGGTACTTTAAGTGACTTCAATGGAGGTAAGGCCTTGATCTTCGGTTCTTCCACTTCCTTCTCAAATGTATCTACAAATTACATTCGAGAGAAGATAAAATTAAGTAAGACAACAAAAAATTCTACATCAGTCAAGTAAAACCACAAGGGCCAACTACTAAAGTATACAATTGCGGGCCCCAAATGACATTTGTTTGTAAGACATGCTGAGTTCGGATGAGGATCTCATGGGGAGGCGTGCACTACAAGCACTCTGGCAATAACATAAAACAGAGCAATAGTCAGGCAGTGAGTAAACTAACCTGCTTCAAACACTTTCATTTTAGGTGGTTTTTCTGTACCAGATAAGACGTAGTTAAAAAAACATATTCAGAGTACAAATGTAGGACCCACTCTCCAATTGACCACTTGACATTAGCAGCTTTATCGACGAGTCAATAAGAGAAAAATGCAAAGACACTGCAAAGAACCTTAGAAATTCCGTATAATATAACCGAACTGTGAATTAGAAATCATTTTAACAGAATGGGCATATCATGCATCAGAAGGTTGTACCTTTGTTCCGAATTATCAGAACATGCAAGCCTCTACCTTTAACAAATTAGAAGTTAGTCTCTAAGTAACACTGACCTTTACCAGCTGGAATAAGTGGCAGAAACCAAGTGCGTCGGCTGCTGTGATTAGCCTCTAAATCCAAAGGTTTGGTAAGCTCAGATCTTTTACGGACGACAAAGAACCATACAGCTATGAAAATTGCTGCAAGCACCAAAATTGCTCCCACGACAATCCCAGCAATTGCTGCGCCTGATACGATGCCGCCTTCAGCCTTAGGAGCAGTATCTGGTGTTCGGCTACCAGGGTGGGGTGGAGGAGGAATAGGCTTTGGATTCTTTGAAGGTGGCGGTGGTGTAAACGGTGGTGGAGGAGGGGCTTGGGTGTTGAGTGGATTGCCTCCATATCTGAAGGATCGATACAATAAACCCTCGGTGAAATTTATAAACCAATGACACAATTATTCGAATAAAAAATTATCATATTTCTGAATCACGTCACACGAAAAAAGATACTGAGAGGACCATAGATGACTCACAACAAACACGAAATTGCTGCAATGTGATCGTCACGACATAGTGTGATGAAAACGCAGACAAATCCTGCGTCACTAAAGGACTAGCAATCCAAACATCTACCACTCCAGAGCCATTCTCTGATGAAAAGTCCTTTAACAGCGACCGATCTCGATGACGAACTGAAACGGGGCAGAGAGTAGGCTCCTCGAGAACACTGTAAGTCGATCTAAGCTATGCACAACTTGGAGAAATTACTCTATCCTAGATCTCCACTGAATCCGCATTTTTCCTAGACTAACCATGATCTGCTATACACATAATAAGTAAAATTAAAGTGTGGTGTACCTGAAATTCTTTGGGTTCAGGTTTGGTGGGAGAAAGCCAGTAAGCGCGTTGTTAGATACGTCCCTGTTCCAGGCAACCATAATTAGGCTTACCGAATTGGAATTAATCACCGAGAATCGCGAGGACCAACACGTTAGTAATTCACAGATGCGTGTTAAAGTCATTGGAGGTTAGGTACTTACAATGTTTCTAGAGATGGAATATTAGCCAATGTGTCTGGGATTGGTCCAGTCAGCTTATTATTTTGCATGTTCCTACACACGTAAGAAAAACATTATTGCATCCGCCATGGGCCTTGACAGCAATTACACCAGCAAACTCTTACGGAAAAACTCTCAGATTATGAGGAAATCATCCTTTGACATTAAAAGCTATGGAATATACTTACAAAAATCTTAGGCTGACCATGTCACCCATGCCCTCGGGAATCGGCCCTGTAATTGCGTTGTTGGAAATATCGCTGCAGAGAGTAGTCGCATCAAGATGTATTACGGACAAGAACCACGACGTTTCCAACTTAACGTCGATTCCAAGATACCAAGTCGACGCACTACACCCCCTAAACGACTGTTCCGTTGTCCATTCATTTGTGCAGCAATCACCATCTCAAAAGGGAAAACAGGACTGCCAGATGGACTTACAGGGTGATTAAGTTTGTGAGTTTACTGAAAACCTGCCCATCGAGCGTTCCACTCAGCTTGTTGTTATTCAGTTTTCTGCAATTGAAGAGAATTTGAACTTAAATCCATGAATCGAACTTCAGTACGCGGAATCAGAAGAAACAAAATCCAATTTTTGGGTAGAAGTCAATGCCAAATCAGACAGAAAAAGCATCACCTCTCATGCTGCTCAGAACATTAAAACACATCTTGTTTGATAAAAAAGTCTATCGAAATCCTTCACTAAATTATAGAAACTAAACATGTGTTTTGAAGGAAAGACGTCATAATTTCGAGATAACCTCAAATTACTTGTAGTAATGATGAAACGAACAGGGGGCAGCAGAACTTACATGCTTGTCAAAGTAGGGATGTTGATTATCAAATAAGGAAAACTACCCGTGAGCTGGTTGTAAGACAAATCTCTGCACAAATTTGAATTCGTGAGGATTGAACTCCACATGCAAATAGAGGATTTCGGCTATCTGAGGGGTATTGGTGTGCCGATTAAGAGCACATGCATTACCTAATCTATCAGGCCAGACTATTGAACACCCAACTACTATCTATTCACTAAGAGTGTTTATCAAAGTTCAAAACGATAAAGAAACAAAGAAAAGTAGGACAGCAATAGTTCGAATGAAAAAAATTGACTCACAGTTCAGTCAACTTGGGAGGAAACATCTCAGGAATTCCGCTAGCAAGATTATTATGGCTAAGGTCACTGCGAGGATACAAATCCACTGTCAATAAAAGGACATAGCACCCACTTCAATCTGAAGCAATGAAAAGTTTTTTCGGATGTATTGCAGTACAGCCTGGTTATGTTCAGTACTGAAATCGGCGATCGAACATGAAATGCACTATTGTTCTTACAGCACAGAGAGGTGTTGAAACTTCTGCAACACCCATCCCTCCACCTTCCCATTCAGTCCCATGTTGGATAGCTTGCTGCAACTCAATGAAAGACAACAGTGGGGTGAGAATCAAAAAATGGATTCTTGCCAAATCTACTATACACAATGACAATGTGCAAATTTCTTCAAGTAGAAAAATCAGAGTCCGAAAACTCACATTGAGGTGACGAAGGTCCCATCACAAGTAACGCCCAGCCAGTTGGTTCCGCAGGGATCACCCGCGTTTTGCACCCAGTTCGTGAGCTTAGGATCGCTGTTGAAGCCAGTGAACATAGTATTCAAAGCAGACACTGCACCCACATGTCCCAAGGAGGACACGAGTCAGATTCTCAAACCTGCTCCTGACACTCACAAGAGGATCTTGACGGACGCTGAGCAAAATCGACAAGGATTGGATACTAAATTGGGTTGAAAGGTAATCACAAAAGCTTTGGCATAGAATCCAGCTCTTGGAGATGCCGTATATTTTCATGGTTTCATGTGTAATTCGGCTAGAGAACAGCACTACCTGATCCCAGCGACAAATATCCAAACGAAAGAAATAACACGACAAAATACAATTATCCAGCTTCGGCGTGCGATGAACTACTCCCCCCATGATGAAAATCATATCCAAAAGGCAGTCTAAAACACCATCGGCTTTTCCTCGTAGCAGATTTTGGCACTAGAAGTAAAAAAAACGTTCATCGCGTGAATCACACTCGGATTAATAGATTTCAAATGTATGAAAGGCCGTAGAATTTGCTATCCTGCCAGGTTCCTCGAGAGCCCAACCCAATCAAGTGAGATACAGAGACCAGATCCACGACCTTTCCTCCTTGAGGAGAATGATGAGTAGCGAGTCCTATTACTCACATGAATACGCTGACAATGACTCCAAGGTAGAGATCGGTACTGATAAACTCTTTCACACACTGCCAATTGAGCTGTAGAACAACTGAGAGTGATCATGGAGGGAACATACCATCGTTCGGATCGGTGGCTCCATTCACCAAAGCAATGAATGAAATCACCAACACGTACAAGATGGTTCCACCATTAGGTCTTCCCATTCCTCCCAAAATGCATGCTCTCCTGTCACCCTTCATTGGGGCATCGACAACTGCTCCTCTCATGTGAGAACCACCTTTCCCTCCCAAAAATTAGGCAAGGCTTCTCGCTTGTGGATGGATACAATCCTTCAACAGCGTCACTCGCTGCTAACGATACCAAAGCCTCTCCAGCTGAGGCCTGCACTTGTTCAATACAATACCACATTCATCACCATAACACTCCCAGACTGCAACCCTCACATGTTCCAACATTCAAAACAAGAGAAAAAAGAAAAAAAAAAAAAAAAAAAAAAAAAAGGCATTCAAATCTTAATTTCCCCACAACTCAACTGCATTTTTAGCTACACTCATCCTGCCAAAAAACCTAAACTCAGCATTCCGAACTTGAATCCAACACAAGAGTACATTGATCCCATAACAAGCAATGCCCACACCCTTACCACAATCAAACAACACACTAGCTCATTGTGACCGAATTCCGACACAACAAAACTCGTGATCGGAATGCAGGGGTCAGATCAACAGCATACCAGGCAAAGGACCTGGGTGGCAAGCGATGAGCAGCAGCTCTGAGGGAAGGGAAGAGCCTAAAGCCTCCAAGTGTGATGAAAGAGATGAGATTAGCGCAGAAAACCCGGGGAATGGATGGTCATGACACCATCAAAGCAACACTAGCATGCTCAGAATGGCTAAATCAATTCAATGAAGGCGAGAATACAGCTGCCAATCTCCCAAACTGGGCCTACTGCTGAGCTGCCCCACAATCCCTCCCCCTCCTCCCCTCCTTCCTCCCCAGTTCTCAACCCGGCCCCACATGTTCATTCTCTCAATACTATTTCCAGTCTCCTAACAGAATGCCCCGAGCTTCTAGATTCCTGGCATCATCCAGTTCAAGCACAGAAGAACGTTAACTCCCCCCCTCCAACACTCCACATTCAAACCACCCACATATTACGTCCGAATGTCTATCGCAACCGCAGGTTTTGTTACCGTGACCCGAAAATAAAGGATGTATGCTCAATCAGATTCTAGCCAACTTCATTCACGTGGGTGATGTACACACCACACAGCAGCCTCATGTGTGGGTAATTCAACAAAGGTATGAGATTGTGTAGTGAATGGACATGCGAATCTTCGGTCGCCTAGACAAGGAGTCCGGCTTCGCGAGGGCTGCTAGACGTGCGTGTCTGAGCCCTGACCGTGATGAGGGTGCTATGGAGACGTTGCTTGCAACTGGTGCCTGCTCAGTCTAAAAAATCCTTTGGCCGAAGCTTTAGTGCCGGAACCCAAAAGTGAATGTTGTCTTTTTTTGGGTTATGATTCTAACTTCGGCTTGGTCCCTCTTGCAAGTCCCGCTATAAATTTCACAAAATAAACATAACGTTTTAAGGCTGAGTAAGATTTGTGTGTAAAGGTTGGTATTCTCAAGGACAGTTGTTCAATTGGTGGCAACTGCTGTGCTGTTTTGTGTGTGTTTGCACTGCTTCGCTGTATGCACCATTGCACTGTTCTGCATGGGTTTTAGTTATTGCTCAATCTTGTCTTTTGGCACCAAAAATTTGCAGAACTTATTTTTTAGTTTCAGTTTTCATTCAATTGTGGACATTGTGGATGGCATTTGTAATGGGTTAGTTTTTAGCCTTGTACAACACAACAGAGACGGTTTTTGGAAAAAATAATTTGTGTGCTAATTATACTCGTGGTTCATTATTGTGTTGAGGAAACATTAATGTTCTTGTAGGTTTCTTGGGATCTATTTATTAAATCCAAAATTTTGAATATTATTTTGCAAATTATTTGATAGTTACAAGTACTTGGTTGGAAACAAAAGTTTTTATTATCATTGATTTCAATTGGTATATAGAAGCATTTTTAAGCAACACAACAAAATGAAGCAAAATTAATTACTCATATTGCACTAATAAATACAAAGATGGAATATTATAGTATTAGATAATTTAAGAGGTTAGAATTGTTAATAAAATTACATAATCATTTCAAATCACATTAAAATATTATTGATATTTTATTAATATATATAAAATATAAACAATAATTAAATACATATATATATGTAAAAAATAATATAAATATTAAATGTTTTGAAAAAACATAATAGAAATTATAAAAGAGCCATAAAAATTTTAATTTGTATACTTATGGTATATATATATTCCATCTATAGTATATGAACTTTGTGTTGTCTTTTGCATATGCATTCATCAAGGATATGAATTATAATAAAACTCTAAAGAAGCAATATAGTTTAGTAACATTTAAAAAGAGAAAGTAGAAAAATCAAAGATAGATATAAAATAGAAACTATAATGACTATTATCAAATAAAAAGAGACTAGAGATTCTAGAACTAAAATAAGAACACAAGTAAATCATTGGTAAGAGTAAGAAAGGCCTCATTCTTACCTCCATACATATTATTTAAATAAGGTGCTATATAGCAATGCTCTATAGATCATTTGACATATGTCTAACTTGTAAGATATGTATCTAACTTATAAAAAAATTACCAATATATTTGCCACATAGCCAACTTGTGCTATAAGTCACCTATACTAGATATTTTAAGTCTACATCTATCAAAACAACCATATGAATTTATTCAAATTGGATGTATAGTAGCACTTCTATATATAACTATTCTCTTTAGATTTGTATATTTTATGGAAAAAGTTTCATAGCTCTTCTATATTTTAAATTTATTTTTAAAACTATTTATAGTTATAGTTAGATTAAATGATTGATAAAAGATCAAAATCCTAACTTTATATTAAAGATCACATTCAACTACCATTTAAGCTACCAAATTTTAAATCCTTGCTTGCAATGTGGATTAGAATGATAGAGTCTTTATCAATTTTGATATGGATTAAAAGATAGTTTTGAAATTTTATTATTGACAATATCAAAAAAAATCCATTAAAATAATGTATTTTTTAAAAGATGTTAAGAAGAAAGATTTGGATGGAGAGGAACAAGTTAAGTCATGATAATTTTTAAGTATTTAGAAACTTATTTATTAAGGCCAAAAATTATAAAAATTTATACAAAATATATTTAATATATTAATGAATAAGAAAAGTTTTTGATGTCATTAAGAAGAATTATGCTTATATTGTAAAGAATCCATGTACATTGCTTAACATCATGCAAAAAAGTACCACAATCACAAAATAAAGAATATGGTTGCTAAATTTTTTTTATCAAAAAACAAGTTTGTCTAACTATAATAGACACTATGTAGCTAGAATCTTATACAACATCTAGTAAATGTCATATTTTCTTCCCAAAACTTTTACTATGCTTTATAAAAAATATTTGTTTAGGACCAAAAAATTCCAAAGCTTTTGCCTTATCAAATTCAAAAGCCTTATTTTATTTTATAAAAAAATATTTTTTCAAAAACAAGGATTATCCATAGTCAAAAAATCCAAATCCATGTATGTAGAAGTCAAAGATGGTTGTTTATTATCTTCTAAAGAAGATATCTATGAAACTATTCTTATAAATATAATAAATAATAGTCATGATAATTTAATACTATTTAGTATTTTAGATTTTTTTAAATTTAATTTTTTAAAGTTTATTATGGTTAAAAAAATATAATCTTCAAATCAATTAGATTTCTTATAATCTTTATTTTTTCAATAGTATAATTTATATTTTTATAATTGAGATAAAAAATTATAAGTCTAGAATAATTAAACCTTTATTGATAGATGCATAAGCTTTTATGCATGTTGCAAAAAATGATAACTTTTTTTTCATTTATACTATATCCATTTTTGAAAGTAGAAAGACTTTACATGGTATTTTAAGTTAATACCAAGTTTACTAAGATATTTTTGAAAAAAAAATATAAATATTCTCCTATAATATTATCCTTATAATTACTCAATTGATCTTTAAGATGAAGCTCAACTACCATTTGGACCAATCCATAGCTTATTACAAAACAAGTTAGTTGCATTTAAAGAATACATTCATAATAACTTGGCTATGAATTTCATACACTATTTAGAATTTCTATTAGTAATTTTTATCTTTTATATATATATATATATACAAATATATAAAAATTATTAAAGATTCAATAAAACCACTACCAAAAATAAATATCTAAAATACCACAAAAAAATAAACCACCACCAAAAATAAATATCTAAATTTATTATTTTATTGAATTTAATATATATAATATATAAATAAATACCTAATATATATCAAAAAAGAGATAAATTAAAAAATTATATTTTAAATCATGTATGGATATTTTAATTATAATGTCATGCTTTTTAGACTTACAAATATATCAGTTGGTTATAAACATCTAATGAATGATGTTTTTTGAAAATTTGTAGATGATTTTATTATCTTTTATCAAGAAAAATTTGAATCTACTTTATAAATACAAAAAAATATGAATTCATATTTTTCGTATATTATAGAAATTTAAAAATACATGATTTTTCAAATATATATTTTATATAAATTTAGTTAATTTTTTAAAATACATCATTTCAAATAATTTCTTTATGTTGGATCTTTAAAAAGTTTAAACTATCATAGATTTGAAGGTTATAAGAATAATAAAAGATATAATTTGTTTCTAGAATTAATTAATTTATATTTGAACTTTATTGAATATTTTTTTAATTATATATTTATTTATATATTTAACTTATAAAGAAAAACTTGAATAAAATAAAAAATCAAAACTTCATTTAGAGCTTTGAAGGTAGCTTCTATAACAATTCTAATTATTTATTAAGTTGATTTTTTTAAAGTAATTTTTATGGAATAAAATATATTGGACTTTGACTTAGATGGAATATTATTACAAATGGAAGCAAATCAAAATTTTCATATAATAGTTTTTTTTATTCAAGAATATTTTTAAAAATTGAGATTAATTATAAGATCTACAATAAAGAATTTCTTATAATTGTGGATTCATTTTAAAAATGACACCATTTTCTAGAAGGCACATCTAATCTAATGATTATTTGATTATTATAATTTTTAATTTTTAATTTCAATACATATTTTAAATTATTGTTAAGTCTATTGGATTATAATCTTGTAAAGATTTAAGTTCAAAATCACTTATAAACTAAGAAAACAAGAAGGTGTATCAAACATTCTTTTTACATATTCTTATTTAACATCAAAACAAAGAAATTCAATTTTTGATCAACAAAAAACTATTCTTTTGAAGTAAGAAAAATTTCATCTTTAAGCAATAAAATCAATATTGATTGTTGATTTGACTTTTTTTTAATAAAATTTAATTTAATATATTTTCAAATATTCTTAATCATGATATTAAAAATTATTTATTTAAATTTCATAATATTTCTAATTTTAAGTTTAAGAATAAATATATTTTATTTTTAGCAAAAATATATATTCCAAAAGATGAAGCATAATTACAAATTCTTTAAGCTTGTTACAATATCTCTATATCATAATATTTTGAATATATAAGATATCAAAATTAATTTTAAGATATTATTATTGGCTTTAAATATACAAGGCATTAAAAACTTTGTACATTCAGATAATGTTTGTTCAAGACTAGTAAATCATTATCATCAACCTTACACACTTCTCTAAATACTATCTATATCAAAATAACCATCGTCTT